ATCAACTAATGGCCTTAGGTACACATCGATGTCGTTGCCGGGTTGCTTCGGACCTTGGATGAGCACTGGCATCATAATGAACTTCCGCTTCATGCACAACCAAGGAGGAAGGTTGTAGATGCATAGAGTCACGGGCCAGGTGCTATGGCTGGAGCTCTGCTCGCCAAAAGGATTCATGCCATCCGTACTTAGAGCAAATCTTATGTTCCTTGCGTCAGCTGCAAAATCTTTGAACCATCTGTCGATCTTTCTCCATTGCGTTCCATCTGCGGTGTGTCTCAACTCCCCGTCCGACTTACGGTCCTCTTTGTGCCATCGCAACAACTTGGCATGCTCTTTGTTCCTGAACAGACGTTTCAACCGTGGTATTATAGGAGCATACCACATCACCTTGGCGGGAACCCTCTTCCTGGGTTTCTGGCCCTCAACATCGTCACCAGGGTCATCGCCTCTGATGTTATAACGCAATGCAGTGCATACCGGGCATTCATTCAAATTCTCGTATTCACCGCGGTAGAGGATGCAGTCGTTGATGCATGCATGTATCTTCAGAACCTCTAAACCTAGAGGGCAGACAACCTTCTTTGCTTCGTACGTACTGGCGGGCAACTCGTTATCCTTTGGAAACATATTCTTCAACATTTTCAGCAAGTTTTCAAATGCCGAGTCAGCTACACCTGCCTCTGCCTTCCATTTCAGCAAATCCAGTGTGCAGCCCAGATTTTTCAGACCATCATCGCATCCGGGGTACAGCGCCTTTCTGTGATCCTCTAACATGCGATCCAAATTCTCCCTCTCCTTTTCAGTTTCGCAGCATCTCCGTGCATCAGCAATGGTCCGACCAAGATCATCAACGGGATCATCACGTGCCTCTTCTTCACCTTCCCCTTCACCTTCAGCATCCTCCATGAAAGTATCACCGAAATGAGCAAGATAGCTTTCATCGATGAAATCATCCCCTTCTTCATCTTCTTCCATTATAACCCCTCTTTCTCCATGCTTGGTCCAACAATTATAGCTTGGCATGAAACCGTGCCGAAGCAGATGCATGTGAACATCTCTTGAGGAAGAGTAACCCTTCTGATTCTTACAGATAACACATGGACAGATAACAAAACCCCCCTGCTTGTTCGCATTAGCCACTACGAGGAAATCTTTCAAACCCGTAGTGAACTCGCCGGAGAGTCGGTTACCGTACATCCATTGCCGATTCATCTTCATTATTATAATATAAAATATATAATTAACCATCATGCATTTGTTAAACTAACTAGCTACAAACAATATAAATTAAACAATGAACTGCACACATGCATATTTTATCAATGACACATCAAAGGTTCATCAAGTTGCTAACCGCGATCGAGGAGTGTGGCTCCAACACTTCATGTCATGTTTGTTTCATACTCTTGGGGCATTTCATCAAACACCTTATGTGCATAAGAGGAACCAAAAGCAAACCTACACCCACTTGTGAAGAGAATGGCTCCAAATGGCTAAGTGTTGGCTGCTGGATGGGTATATATAGGGGAGGGGCTTTAGTTGCGGTTGGCCTGGCAAACCGTGACTAAAGGTGCCCGAAGGCCTTTAGTCGCGGTTGTCCTGGCCAACCGCGACTAAAGACCCTCACGTGCGCCAGCTGGCCACCGAGCGCCCTGGGCCCAGGCCTTTGGTCGCGGTTCACCTCCAGAACCGCGACTAAAGGTCCCATTAGTCGCGGTTCCTACAGCTTCGCGACTTATGGGGCTGGACGGAAGCCTGTTTTCCACCAGTGCAACCCGTCCAAGCGGCCGTTGATGTAGATCATCATGGGGGCCTGGAGACCGGCATCGACCCCTCAGCGACCCGCATCCTCAAGGAGTCCTCCTTGCGTGGGTAGAGCTCACGTTGTCATTGTAGCACACGCCTCACCTCGACCTACTGTATATTTTCGCCAATGCTAACACTGATTTCTTGCACGCTGGCTTCTCACCTCCTTGGCTCTATTTATAAATCGCTTGCTAAAGTTGGCGAGCCGGCGTTTTGGGTTTATCTCAGATCCTCGCATAATGCTTGGCCGCCATGCAATTCCGTGTGGCTTAGTCGTGTGGGGGCTCAGAGATGCAGTGCTGCTCCCTTCCTGACATGATGTTGCACCATGTTCTGTGTTTGATTGTGTTGGACAGTTTGTGTGGTGAATGTCATGGGGGGCAGTGGTGACGCCTCCGTGTTTGCCGGTCATTAGAGTTAAGGATAAGCCAATGCCATTCTCTAGATCCCCTGCGATGGTCTGCAATGACAGTCTCTGAGAACGGCGGGGTTCGAGGCCTCGTCTCACCACGTTGCAGATCACAGCAAGCTCCTCAGGTCTCACGTTGGTCAGCTCCGGGTCGACCAGCTTACTGATCTCCTTCGGCTGCTGGAGGTACTTGATAGCCTACAAAAATATGTAGGCAATCAGACTGAGCAGTTTCAACTTTCGCTACAAATGCAATAAAAGGTTGTTTCAACATTTCATTTCATGTTATATATGATTTTTGAGGCTGGGGAAATTCATATCGGCTCACCCAGTGAACCAAATATCCGTTGTCCTTGCAGTAAGGAAGCTGTCCACTAATGATCTCCAGCAAAATCACTCCAAAAGCAAATGAATTGCATTGGACTTCACTAGGCATGTCCTTCAAAAAGTCCAGGTGACCAGGGAAAGAGGATTCATTATTCAAGTGGCCGAGCATCTTCGAATGCTTGGAGAACATTGTTTTCCAGCATTCAAAATCAACCAGGTGAAAACAACCAGGGGGAAGTAAAATGGTCAATACACCAACTTAGATAGTATATGCACTTGAAAAATAAGCTTGCGAGGAAGATTAAGGAAATACACGCATATGGTACCTTGGGAGTAAAATCTTCTGTAACATAAACTGACTTGGAGTTCAACTTCGATATAGTGGATGGAGGTTGCAGCTCACTGTGCAAATACCTTAAACCTTTGGCAATACTGATAGCTATTTTCATTCGTCTGTCCCAAGATAATTGAGCTGCTTTCCCATCTAAAGGAAATAAAATATCGAGATCAAGTTTAATTACGACCCATGTAAAATGCAATAATTGGGCAGAATATAACTATACACAAAAGAGGCTGCCTTACGGTGTACGTGCTCATATAGGGTCCCATTTGATGTGCATTCAAAGACAACCATCCTGTAAAATGGGTCACTTTCTCTGCAATATCCCATGAACTATGCTATGTTCTCATGTTTAACGTTGCCAGATCAATAACCTAAAAGATTCTCCATTTAGTTTCTTGAGAAGTCCAGACAAATTATTTTTCTTTGCTCTATATAACTGTAGAAAGCTACCTACTTTTGGTATAAAAGTTCATGTTGGCTAGTCCAATGATCTTCACGGGCACATAATTGTATAATAGAAACCTCAGGCCCATCCTTGATTGTTCCTTTGCAGACTACAGAGCCAACAATGTTGCTAAAATCTCTACGAGCTATCTGAAGCTCTTGGCAACGTAACTTCATCAATTTTTTCGGCATACCAAAATCTGCAGAAAGCATGAATAAGTACATTACAATAATATATGGAAAGCAAACCAATCGATTTATTGAATACTACATTTATTTTAAAACTTAATACTAACCCGTACTTCCAAAACATCCAGATGATGTCTCCACATTTGTAATGTCAAAGTCAATACTTTCCAGACCTTGAAGCATATTGATAATTTTCATCATTCGAGGCCTTTCTGCACGCTCAAAGTTCATGCAGATTAGAGCTACCTGATTCGAATATCCAATTCCGAGCCCGGGCTCATCTGGACCCCTCAAGAAACAATTCATACAAAATTCAAAAACATTAAAAAAATCCAAATTTTTTGTGCAAGGGAGATAATTTGGTGCGTGAGGTGCACTCCAAATTTCAGAGCATTTGGATATTTGAGTAGCTCTCAGCAAAAAAGACAAATTGGGTCAAAGCAGTATATGAATAGTACACTATTTAACAGACCCCAAATTTGTTTTTTTTTTGCCGAGAGCTACTCAGATGTCCAAATGATTTGAAATTTGGAGCGTACATCAGGCACCAAGTTATCTACCATGCCAAAAAATGGAATTTTTCGAATTTTTCTAGTATTTGTTTTGATTTTTTATTGAGCGCAGATGCAGATGATCCCGGGAGCAAAAATGCCTCACTCTGAATGCATCTTTTTATCTGTTGGCATTCTATTTCTAGGGACCTATATCCGGGTGCTCTCTCTAGGGTATTTCTCCATTTCTTAAGTGCCTGTAAAATCAGAACAAATAACTAAAATATGAGCACGAAAATGTAACGTGCAACATCATCTCTTTAGAGAAGGATCTCTATCTTAAATGCGAAACAAAATTTTCTTACATCCTCGATAAATTAATATGAAGAATTTGGAGTAACATCCACGTAATCCCTCCGCCCCGTTATTATCTCCAAGATTATTACACCCAAACTAAATATGTCTGACTTTCGTGTAATTGTACCGCTGTGTAGGAATTCTGGTGCCATGTAACCGCTGAATCGCATCACGGACATAAACTTGAATTGTTAATGTGAGTGTAAATGGAACATATCTTTCTTACAAAAAGAAAAGGTAATGCATGACATCAACACACAGTGTTCCATCACGAGATGAAGTGCAAATAGTTTGTTCTTTGTCAAGAAGTCTTGATACACCGAAGTCTATAATTTTTGGCTCCATACTGTTAGAAGGGAGAAAGGGTTTTGATGGAATTGTCGTTGTATTGCTTGAGCCTCATGGGCATATATATAGGATTACATGATCATCTTGGAGTACAAGGCACGGTAGAATAATATCCTACGCTATCCTAGCTTTCCTAATAATCACGATACTCAACATCCCCCTGCAGTCACAAAGGTAGCCACGCAGACAGTGAGACTGGAGAAGAATCCGAATGCAAGCCGACGGACCCCCCACAGTCGTAACGGTCGACGCATCGCGGAGTCGTGGCGTTTGTTGATCTAGCCGAGAGCCGAGGGTGGTGTAGCCGTGGTCGAGGTAGCCGCGCATAGAATGTCGTGGTCGATGTCGAGTCGGGGAGCCGGTGTCGAGGATGTCGCCGTGGAGCCGCGGGCGCAAGAGCGCGCCGAGTTAGCATGGGCGAAGTGGTGTCAAAGTAGTGGTGCGCCGGGAAGAAGACGTTGTTGACGACGCGTCGCGGCGGGTTTGCCAAGCCCGGGGACACATCATAGACGAAGGCACACACCGGTGTTGCCAGCACCGGGCATGCGTAGATGGACGAAGACGAAGTTGACGAAGCGCCACACCAGGCTTGCCAGGCCCGGGGAAACATCATGGACGAAGGCACGCATCGGTGTTGCCAGCACCGGGCATGCATAGACGAGGACCTGCACAAGTTGTACGCCATGTCGGAGGAGTCAGAGAGGCCAGCAAAGAAGGACTCGACGATGGTTGCGGCGTCAATCAGCGCGGAGCCAATGTCGCCTGCGGTTGTCGGAGTAGACGAAGTGGTCGGGGTAGATGACGACGACGCTGGCGACGGGCCGGTGCTGGACGAAGACGAAGGAGGTGGACGGGCGACGACGGCTACGTGGGTAGCGGTGGCGGCCAAAGAAGAGCGGCGGCGGCGGCCTGACGGCGGCGACGGCGGCTAGGTTAGGAGCGCGGCGGCGGTGCTCGAAGTAGGCGAAGAACCCGACAGCATGACGAAGACCGGCATGGACGGTGGCGTTCCCGCGCCATGGGAGGTGGCGCGACGCATACCACGGAAAGTCAACACGCGTGGACGACGAAGTGGACGGTGGGCCGCCGCACTACGGCCCGAAGGGGTGACGCAGCGGCGGCGGGCAGGTCGGGGTGACGGCGGGAAGACCTCGGGGCGGCGGCAGGGACCGCGGGCCGCGGTGCGACAACCCGAAGGGGCGGCGCGGCAGAGGAGCGCGGGTCGGTGCAACCGCGGGGACGGCCTCTGGACGGCGGCGTGGACCGCGTGCCACGCTCGCTACGGCCCGACGGGGTGACGCAGTGGCGGCGCGAGGGTCAGTGCTGCCATGGGGACAACCTGGAGCGGACGGTCTCTGGGCGGCGGTGGACCGTGGGCCGTGGTACTACGGCCCGAAGGGGCGACGCAGCGGTGACGCGGGTCGGTGCAGCTGGGAGAAGAACCACGGGGCGGCGGCGCTGCGGCCCGACGGGGCGACGCAGTGGCAACCCATTGCTCGATCGGTAGAGGGGCGCGCTGAACTCGGGACGGTCTTCACGGGGCCTGCGGAGGCGCGCACAACCGACGGGCCAGGTTGGTCGCACGACGTAGATGAGGCGGATCGCAGCGGCGGGCGGGTGATCAATCCGATCGCGCGGGAGGTTGGAGACGCCGTTCGGTGGAGGCGCGGTGGCGGCGGAGTCCAAGATGAAGCCGGCGGCGGCGGGCGGCAGGGCGGCTATGATTGGCCGCCACATGGCGCGAGGCCGCCGGGTCGGGGTGAAGCAGGTGTCCCGGTTGGAGCAGGGCGGTGACGACCGGTATAGATCGACGGGCGAGCCGTCGCACGAAGGGTGGCGGTGTAGAGCCGCCGCATGACGCGAGGCCGCCGGGTCGGGGCGACTGGCGGGCCGACGCAAGGACACCGCGCGAGGCCGCCGGATCGGGGCGACCGACTGGCAGACGCGCGGACGATGCGCGAGGCCGTCGGGTCACTGAAGAAGCCGTCCGATCGCGCCGGTGTTGGAGTAGAGGTGCACGGGGTCGACGGCGGCGGTGGGCGACGCAACCGGATCACATAGAACGGAAAACCAAAAAATAGACGCCGATCAAAGCGACCGGCGAGAGAGAGAAAACCTGGATCAAAGGATCAGGAAAAAGACTCTTTAGGGCAGCCGACCAGCACGGCCGGCGGACGAACCCTAGGTACGGGCGGCGCGGCCCCCGGCGGCGGTCATGGAGGCTGACCGTCCTGGCGGCGGCGGTTAGGGTTTAGGATCGACTTGCGATAGATACCATGTTAGAAGGGAGAAAGGGTTTTGGTGAAATTGTCGTTGTATTGCTTGAGCCTCATGGGCATATATATATATATATATATATATATATATATATATATATATATATATATATATATATATAGGATTACATGATCATTTTGGAGTACAAGGCAAGGTAGAATAATATCCTACGCTATCCTAGCTTTCCTAATAATCACGATACTCAACACATACTGTCATCGAGCATTATGTTGGCAGGTTTTAGGTCCAAGTGTACAATAGGTTTATCATTTTGCTCATGAAGGTGACGTAAACCATTGCAAATCCCCATGATTATTTTGTAACATGTGCTCCATTCAAGTCCAGAAGATTCATCTGCATTGTAACCAAAATATGCTACCTTAAAAATATATTGTGTTCTCACTATATGTGAATAAAATACCCTTTTATGATCTATGCTCAAAGTTCAAAAAACTAGAGTCTCGAACAGATATTAAAAAGAGAAACAACATCCCATATTGAATGTGGTACCTGATAGATACTTGTCGAGGCTTCCTTTGGGCAGATACTCCAAGCAAAGCAGCCTTTCCGCCTTCTCTGCAAAAACATATTTTCCATTGTACTCCAAACACGCATTCTTTATTTCGTAGCAGTAGCCTATACATCGCACTACATTGGGGTTCTTAATGATCATAAGATGATAAACTTCATTCTCAAATTGCTTCTGTGGGCTCGGCATTAATGACAATACAATCTTCTTCACAATAATCATTTCCCCATTATGCAGCACTCGCTAGTCAAAGCTGATCTTGCATTAATTACTATGTATGGATATGCCTTTTTGGGTCAACTATAGTTCCATATGTTTGAAAGGTAGACAAAGGTAAGTTTGACACAAAGCAATACACACAACGGTAGACTATCCTTATATACCACACCAATACCACCATGTCCAAGTATTCGATCTTCAGAGAAGTTATTTGTGATTTCTTTCAAATGTTGCAGTGGTATACTAGGTGGTCTTGAACTCTGATCCTGTAACATGCTTTCCAGATTGTTAGAACTATTGATCATCCCAAGAGTGTTTAAAGCTGCAATGCACATGGGTCATCAGTGGTATATACTTTGAGAGCCAATGTCCCTTTGACACACGAGAACATCTGGCCACTAGTAGAAAAAGAGGCTTCCGTCCAGCCCCATTAGTCGCGAAACTGTAGGAACCGCGACTAATGAAGTCTTTAGTCGCGGTTCGGCAGATGAACCGCGACCAAATGCCTGGGCCCAGGGCGCTCGCGGGCTTTAGTCGCGGTTTGTGGCACGAACCGGAACTAATGGGGTTGAGACCTTTAGTCCCGGTTCGTGCCACGAACCGGTACTAAAGGTCCCATTTTCAAACTCTACCCCCCCCGGGATCGCCTTTTCAGTTTTAAAAAAAATAAAAGAAAATAATGGAAATGTCAAAAAAATAAAAGAAAATAAGTTTCTCATGTGATATGTGGTCTAGTTGTTGGGAAAATTTGCAAATGTGAATTTTGACTTTATTTGCAAAATCTCTCTGAAATTTGTAAAAATGGGCATAACTTTTGCATACTAACTCGGATGAAAAAGTTTTTTATATGAAAAATCATCTACTCGAAAAGTTACATCCAAATTTAACAGGGGGAACCCCGTTAAACATTTAGTAACACTAATATTCTAGAATAATCCAACCGCGACGAAAGGTGCCCAAAGGCCTTTAGTCGCGGTTGGCCAGGCCAACCGCGACTAAAGCTCCTCCCTTTTAGTCGCGGTTTGTGGCACGAACCGGAACTAATGGGGTTGAGACCTTTAGTCCCGGTTCGTGCCACGAACCGGTACTAAAGGTCCCATTTTCAAACTCTACCCCCCCCGGGATCGCCTTTTCAGTTTTAAAAAAAATAAAAGAAAATAATGGAAATGTCAAAAAAATAAAAGAAAATAAGTTTCTCATGTGATATGTGGTCTAGTTGTTGGGAAAATTTGCAAATGTGAATTTTGACTTTATTTGCAAAATCTCTCTGAAATTTGTAAAAATGGGCATAACTTTTGCATACTAACTCGGATGAAAAAGTTTTTTATATGAAAAATCATCTACTCGAAAAGTTACATCCAAATTTAACGGGGAAACCCCGTTAAACATTTTTAAAATCCTCAAAAACCTAATAGAAAAAAAGTTACGGGGCTTGTAAGATCTAGAGTGGAAAAAATTGAAAAATATTCAAACAGTGCGCAAACTATGGTCAAACAATGGTCAAACTAATTATTCTAGAATATTAGTGTTACTAAATAATTATTTTAATTATTTCAATTTTGGTCAAATCTGGTCAAACTGTGGTCAACTGTGGTCAAACTGTGGTCAAACAATGGTCAAACTAATTATTCAAGAAATATTAGTGTTACTAAATAATTATTGTTTTTTAAAACAATAGTTTCAAACTCAAACAGTGAAATGTGTCACTTCATGCTCAAGCAAAATTCCTGAAGGTTAATAGGATTGACATCTTATTATTGTCAGGAAAACAACAAGTGCAGACTTGGAGCGTGGGAGAATAGAACCCGGAAGTTAAGCGTGCTTGGGCTGGAGTAGTGAGAGGGATGGGTGACCGGTTGGGAAGTTAGATGATTTGGAATGATGAGGGGTGATAAAAGAATAAATTGAGAAGTGATGAGGGGTGGTGATTAGAGACTAGAGGTTAAAATAATTCAGAAATTTGAAAAAAAAATTCAATTTTTTTTTTCAAAAACCTGTGGTGGCCTTTAGTCGCGGTTAGCCACAAGAACCGCGACTAAAGGTCCTCCGCCCACGTGGACGGGCCTTTAGTCGCGGTTCTTAAGCAACCGCGACTAAAGGGGGGGGCCTTTAGTCGCGCCCGTCTGGTCGCGGTTGCGCAACCGCGACCAAAGGCCCTTTTTCCACCAGTGGGCGCTTATCCAGTTGATAAGGAATAACAACAGCATCCGAGAAGGGCACGAATGAGGTCCCAGCAATTCTAACCTTGCCAAGCAAGGACCTGGAGCCTTCTCAACAGGTTTGTTGACATAGCAGACACATGCTTCACTTAGAGTTTTCCTTCTTTTCAAAAAGAAAAAAAGTAGACACATGCTTCAAGAGAAAGCTCGGGAAGATGCGACAGATCAAACAAGTGAAAGCAGAAGCGCTCGTTCCACACTGGGTTTAGATCCTTCAGCTTGACAGTCGTGTAAAAACGCTGACCACCAAATTTAAGCTTGACATAGGCACTCATAGAACCTTTCCCGTACTTAGGAAACAAATCTTGAGCACTTGCCACCTCCACGATCAACTTGTGTGTCGCCATTATCTCCAAGGATGTAGCAATTTACTGGACCGTACTACTCGAATGAAAAGCATCATTAACATCATTAATTGCCTACAGTTACAACTTTGTGAACTGCCTCCAAACAGTATTAAACACTCAACATAACTAGCTAATTAGTTTTTAACATTAAAAAATATATGTATTCCCTCAAGATGTCGAATCATTGTCGCCGCTTTTCTGTGCACCTTCTATCTGGGCCATCCAACTTTGCATCAAGTTTCGTGCTCTGGCACTACAGAAACTCTTTGTGTTTGTACCCAACAAAACAACATATAAAGTTTGAACTTTGCAACTATGTTCTCTTCGCGGATGACTCCCTGTTGGTGATGGAGGCTAGTGTACAAGCGGCTCAGACTATAAACGCATTGCTGCAAGCGTATGAAGAGTGTTCACGACAAGTAATAAACCGGGATAAGTCTTCGGTAATGTTCAGCGCCAATGCTAGCCATAGCTTCAAAAATTTGATGATGCAAGAACTTCAGCTGGGTACTGTTGCAAATGGAGGGAAATATCTTGGGTTGCCAACCTAAGTGGGAAGAGCTAAAAAACAGTGCTTCAATTACATCAAGGACAAGATTGCAGGACGTATTCAAGGAGGGATTGATATGTGCCTCTCTATGGCGGGAAAGGAGATTTACGTGAAGGAAATCGCGCAGGCAATCCCTACTCATGCAATGGCATTTTTCGATCTGACTAAAGGACTATGTGATGAAATAAGCCAACTTATAAATCACTATTGGTGGAACGGACTGGGAGAGGAGAATAAGATGCACTGGATTGGCTGGGAAAAAATGAAGTTGCCGAAGAAAGAGGGAGGGCTGGGTTTTTGGGATCTACACTCTTTCAACATGGCCATGCTAGCTAAACAGGGGTGCCGGCTCGTCCAAGACCCAAATTCTCTCTGCGCTCAAGTCCTCAGAGCAAAATACTTCCCAGCGGGCGATGTCCTTGCAGCGGAGCCGGTAAAAGGAATGAGCTACGTGTGGCGAAGTATTTTAAAAGGGCTCGAGGTGCTGAAGGAGGGACTTATTTGGAGGATTGGAGATGGAGAAAAGGTGAGAATTTGGGAGGATCCCTGGATACCAAGAGGCATTACCCGGCGCCCATCTTCTTCCCAAGGACAAAACATTCTTTCTCGAGTCTCGGAACTAATTAATCCAATGACCGGGACATGGGATCAAGGGCTGGTACAGGAGTGTTTCCATGAAGATGATGTTATGGCAATTCTAAGCATACCGATTAGAGAGCAAAATGAGGATTTCCTGGCCTGGCATTTGGACAGCAAAGGCATGTTCTCTGTAAAATCTGCTTACAAGCTCCATGTAGATATGATGAAACGGGAGACAACCAGGCAATCGGGGCAAAGCTCGAATATTGCACCCCAGACTACAGAGATGTTCACTTCCCTTTGGAAAGTGAATTTCCCACCGAGAGTACATCACTTCCTTTGAAGGCTTGCACATAACAGCCACCCTTTATACATGAACATCAGACGCCGTGGGGTTGAACTGGGCACCAGATGCGCAGTCTGTGCAAAATACTTTGAGGATGGCGGCCACCTATTTTTGAACTGCAAGTTTGTGAGGCACCGTTGGCGCGCTCTTCATCTGGAAGACATCCGAATCCAATTGTCCAACCTGCACTCGTCACAGGAAGTCATCCAGGCTATCCTGCAGCTCCCTGGAGAGAAGAAACTACTGAGCATTGCACTTCTTTGGCTGTGGTGGACTGAACGCAATCGTGAAAGGCACGGGGAAAAGAGACTCAAAACTGAAGCTTTCCGCTATACTGTCCAGCAGCATGCAAATGAATGGAAGACTTTCCTTTCATCAAAGCCTGCAGTGCAAACAAAATATCAATGTAATTGGGTGCCACCCCGACAGGAATTTGTGAAGATTAATGTTGATGGTGCTTTCTCAAGGAACTCAGGGAATGGCGGCTGGGGTCGGATATTCTGTTCGCGGCTGCGGGAGCGGCAGGTGTTTTGACAGACGCCCTCCATGCTGAAACATTGGCGCTCATGAATGCAGTTGATATGGCCGACCAGCTTGGTGTGGGCAGACTTCAGTTCGAAACTGATTGCCAAAATCTTGTCCAAGCCGTTACCTCCAACAGCTATGATCTGGCTCCTCTCGGTAATTTGTTCACACAAATCAAAGATAAGCTAGGGACCCAGTTTATTCATTCACACACAAGTGTTGTACGTACCCCGAGAATGTAACATGCCAGCACACCTGCTGGCTACTATGGGCGCTGGGCTAGCTCAAGGTGAGCGACGTGAGTGGTTTCATAGCTACCCGGTGGATGTAACCCGTGCTGTAACCGGCGTTTCAGCCGTGATATAAATGTAATGCGTATGTTCCATCTCAAAAAAAAAACACAAGTACTACAACCAAACCGAACAAAGCCTAAAAGGAGGCAAAACAAACCAAATCCTCTTGGTATTAAGCATGCGGCAATCGGTAAAGCTAACTGCTCAACTGTTATTAGTTCTCCAACAAGCAGTAACTAATCAGGCACAGCAAACTGCAGGATGGAGTCGGATGGACAGAGGAAAAGATTAAACCTCAGAACGATCAATCGAAGTTCGGATGCGCCGCTCCAGTTCAGCAGAGTCAGGGCCTGAGAAGGGGGAAGACGAAGATGATGACGAGGACGAGGACGAGGACGGGGACAACTGCAATCGAG